CATTGAATAATATAATTTATCATTTGTCAAATACATTCTGTACTTGTACATGTAATTTATTATTAAATGTCTCTGATGTCTCCTTTGCTATCAATCGCAAGCCTTGTCATTATGCATGGCACTTATAACATTCCTCCAGTCAGTTGATATTTTGTCAGTAGGGTCACCTATTACTGAATGGGTTTCTGACTTTTCCAATCCCAGCAAGAGGCCAAATCTGAAAATAACCAAATAACACTGACATTAACGCCACTGCCACCATAACTGTGCAAACGTTATGGGAGGCGTAAGAGGCAGTGTGCCAAGTGGTTAGGGCACCGAACTTGAAATCTGGAGGTCGCGGGTTTAGTGGTCCCACTCTGACCCATAAACTGGAATTCTTTCTTGGTTAATTGACCCTTAGTTCAACTCCTCAGTTATGCTTGTTAACACTAAGCCAGCTGGTCTGCCTCCCACCTGTGAGGTGAGAAAATTAGACAATTAAGTGCGTTTTACATATTCGCTTTCCCTGCCGGAAAATATAGAAATCCAACATAGATATATTTGTTTTACTTCGTTTTGCATTTCTGAGTTACAGGTTGCTGTTCCAGTTCATTGACCGTAACAGACACCTCCTCTAGTTTGTTGTGGGATCATAACTGTAATAAGCAGTTGAACTGTAATTGCTACCTGCGATAGTCTTTTGTTAAACTGTTATCTACCTGTATTGTTTTGAAAGTTATTAATGTTGTAAACGATGAATTCCGTTACAGCCAATCGAGCTTCCTGAAATGTATTAGATAATGTTTAGTTAGGAATTTTTAATGGCTTTACGTAATCTTTTAGAATTGTGCTTTCGGCTTAAATAGTCGTGCCTTGTAAAATATTCTTTGGTTACATTCTGGTTATATTCGGGTACGTTCCGAGTACCTTAGTGGATTAAACTCCACTGTTGGACCCAAGAACTGTGTATTCTCTGTCTTCCCGTTGGATTGTTTTGCTGTAACAGATCCCTAGTCCTCTAGGAGTCTGACAAACTCCGTCGCTGCAAGCGTGTTTCCCTCTGGATTGTTGTAACAAGGAAAACAACTTAAGCGGCCCAAAAACCTGTTATCACATAATCGATGCTATACATTTATAGTAATTAAAAAGAATTAAAATCTGAAATTACTTTTTTGTGGTTACTGGCTTAAGCCATTAACCACTGGCTTAAGCCAATAACCTGTATGTCACCGCGGGGTCTGTAAGTAAGACATTCCATGATTTTTCGGAAGCCTCACGAAGCGAGGCCAAAAAGACCTCAATATTTGATCGAATTCGTTTAATCAATTTTCATCTTTAAAACGTGAGTTTTAATCAAAATAACTGCTTTTACTGTTTACAATTGGTTTTTATAATTGGTTCCCTTTAATTTAATATCACGTTTGGAGAGAAACAATGGGAGTTTACTTGCAGAAACATAGTGTTACGGAGTGTTACGAACGTCTACGATCACTAACCGGTAACAGTTTTCACCAAATGTCCCAAAATATTGTTGTCGAAGACTCTTGCAGAAATTTGAGCGTTTTCCGAGAGCTTTTGATTGGAAATACGATATTGTTACGTGCCTTAAAAATCATCTATCCAGCAAATAAAATGCACATTTGCAAATTGATGTTTATTTCGTTTTTTCATGCTACCCGGAGCTTGATATAATGTTTGTTTTATAATAAACACTTGATTCGATTACAAATGGAAATTGAAATATTCAACTTAAGCCAGGATTCCTCGACAGCCTTCTCAAACGCTCCGCTGGCAAAAGGCCATCTGAACCAGGTCGATAAGATCACCTGTATTATTTTTTCATACGTAAATACTGGATTCTTTATTAAAGGTCAAATGCAACGAAATTTGGACAATTTTCCTTTTCTCGAAAAATCTTTTTAAACAAGTCAGTGCACACTGTGGCGCTCAAGACAGGAAAATCCGACGATTTCCGAGAGCTTTACGGAAACGAACCCGAAATGGCCGCGCTTGGAGTCGAAACGAATATGCGGTATTTGGGACTTCATATTTGGTGAGCTTCCAAAATAGATCAAGACCTTGATTTCTAATTTGGAAATGTCCAAATACAGCCATGTAAGTTCGAACCATTGGAATCAGGTCTCAATAAGAAACGCGATCAAGAGATGTACAAAACAAAAATTATTCTGACAGAAAAGATATGAATTAACCCGTTGTTACCTGAAGGGTTATGGCACACCAATCCCAGCATGTTCCACAGAGGAGCCTGATAGAAATCCAGGCAGTAACTTCAGTAACTTCTTCAGTTTCAGCTAGACATACTTAAAGACATAAATAGCTTTTTTTAGGTTTTCAAAAGAGCTTATTGGCCTTCAAAAATTGATTGCAAACTCCCAGTGGAGGAACTTCCATGTGAAAGGGCTTGTGGATGCTTGTTGTCTCTTTGGGTAGTAACAAGAGGATTGTGGTATTATCATTGGTCTCATGATGAGGTCACTAGAGATGTAGATTGCGATGCATCAACTGCTCACTGCTAGTCTTCACCATGTGATGAAGTCGACTGATGATTAGGCAGTACCATTTATATCACAAGGGGGCTTGTGATTGCCGGTGCATTCAATCCTTCGTTCCCAAGCGAGAAGTTGATGTACCAGCTGCGCGCTTTTGAACAGTTAAACTTCACACGACAAAATTATAGCATAACTTACAGGGCTGAAGCCCAGCAGAAAAAAAAATATACCTAAAAAGGAAAAACAGAGACAGGCATGCACGGACTCCCAATCTGGTTTTTGTGGTTGCGTCGCATTATCAAAAGCCTTCAAATTATGGTTTTGCTCTTACACGCATGTCTTTTAGAGATTTACCTCTTTTGTAAGATATGATCGGAGGCTTTTTAAAAATTATTTTCAGCAGAGGCTGATTTTCTATGAAACTCCAGCTCCATCGCGATTTTGTTAAGTTTCGTTACTGCAGGGTGGTATGTAATGACAAAAGGTAATAGTCTCTCTGCCGTTTTTTGTTTTTGCGGTTTAAGAGGCGATTGTCTTGAGTCAAAGATGACCTCTGACAGGGACCTTTCTATATATTTCTTCGGATACCCGCGTGCTT